CTTTGGTGGTGTCGCTCAGACTGAGAGATATGATCCATACATACTCCTACATATATTTGCAGAGTAGGAGTACTACTACTCCGTATGCAGGACGGACAACTTGGGCCCTCGATGTCAGCTCGATCGACGCGACTTAACAAAAAGAAAAGGAAGGCAGATCAGATGCACGCAGGATCCGATGGATGGTCGTGGCATCTGGATCTCCGTTGTTGCCACTTTGTACCTTCACCCTGTAGGAAAATGTACTGCTGTATCTGTATGAACAGATGCAACACCAAAACATCGTCATGCATGTAACCGGAAGAACAAAAAAAGCTAGGAGGTTAGTACTCGCTCGTCGGTAATTGAAATTTCGTACGCGACACAAAGCCGGACAACATTTGACACGCAACTAATTCTGCACGCAATGTGCATGTGTGCTCGATCAGTAAAACTGCTGCCAGTACTCGGTGGGTACACAGACACAGAGAGCTAGCCGGCATGCATGCAAATGCAATGCCTGTTTGTCCTACGGCGGGTATTTTACGCACGGGGTCTCTGTGTCGCATCGCGTTGCTGGGTGTTGCAGTGGAAACAAAATGAAATGCATGCAAGGCCATCAGAGGATTCCCGGGCGGCGCAAGCAGAGCATGAGCCGCGTCGTTACTTGGACAGGCAAGGAAGATCGATCTCGTACGTAGCCGCCTAGATCCGCCCCTACCGTACAGGCCACTACCACCGCGGAGAACGTGCAAATATACCTTGGCCAACCACCAGTCTTGCAAGGAACGCTCAGCTCAGCTCAGCGGGCTGGTGCTGGCAGTTGAGTACGTAAAAGCGGCCGCAACAGGATCTACAGTGTCTGTCAGCCTGCCTTGTTAACCAATTTTCCTGTGAGAGGCAATTATACTACTCCTAGTTACGGTAAGTATTTTAAGTAATCCTGCAATATGCCACGCGGCTGTCTTTACTAACGCCGGGACGATATGATCCGACAGGTTCAGTTACGGCGAACTACTAGTACTCCAGTGCCAGGCCAGGCACACCGCACAGCAGCGGCAGGGGAAGGGAGATTTGCTGCGGCCTGTCGAGAAATGTTGGTTTGGTTTGGGGACGGACAGCAGCCGAAGCCTAGGACGACGACACCACACCGCAGACACGGAGGCACACAGATGACAGACCACACGTCCACACACCATCGGAGTCGAAGCAGAGTATGCAGGCCAGCAGGAAAAACAGACCACACGTCCACACACCATCGGAGTCGAAGCAGAGTATGCAGGCCAGCAGGAAAATTCGTCTACGATTGTGTTCACGTCCCCTGGTACACACATGTACGCACGCCCTGTCACGTTTTTACTGCCCGCACGCGGCAGCTTGCAGCAGCAGACCCGTGTGATGCCGTGTGTCACTGTAATGTGTGCGTCGTCCGACGTCCGGGCTGGGCACCTGTATGACTTGGGAGCCCCGGCATTGATCGCCTCCTAATTTTACGGTGAAACTAAACTGTGGTGTCTGGATCACTAGTCCTAGTTTACTTTAAGGACCAGTTCTGCTAGACTGTTTGGATCTATGGATTAAACTTTAGTCCTCTAATCTACGATGACCGATTTATCCTCATTTAACTATTCATGCACAACCATGTATGTGAGCGGCAAGGGGTATGGGACATCCAGCGCCTGCTCTAAGAGAGTTTAGTCCAGTTTAGGGTCTCTTTGGGAGCAAAAGTTTTTAACCCAGTTTTTAGCTATTTACTTACTTTTAGCCTCTATATTTAATCCCCATGAAAAAAAAAAGACTAAAAGTGTAGGGCTAAAGTTTTACTATAGATCCAACACCGGGCCTAAATTAATTCCTTGCCCCTGCCCTTTGCCCCTTGCCAACAGAATGCAGACATACTCCTACGATACTCGTAGGAGGTTACTAGGACACTTTTGTTAAGCAAGGTATGACGGTATGTAGGTGAAAAAAAAGGTACGGTTGTTACACACACAGTGTTGATGTTGTTTCCTCCTATTTTTCTTTGCTATCTTCTGCTCACCAACTCCTAGTGATGGGATGAATCTTTGGTGTGGACCCGGCAGCCTGATCCGCTATCAGCCGATCGCCATTTCTGTTATACTAGTACAAGATTGTTTCGACCTTTGCACTTGCACGTTACAAAAATCTTTAAAATGCGGATTCTGAATTTCTTTTCAACAGGGACCAACTGCCCGTCTGCCCCTACCAAAAAAATGATGAGGAAAATCATACGCTTTCCTTCTCTTACAGAAAATAAGTATGGTTGAGTCAGCACGTATAGATTTTTTTCCTCCCTTTTCTTTAAAGAAGAATGCCTTCAATTCGTACCCGCGTGATACTTCTTCCAACAGGCTTTAATTTTTTTTGGTTTCCCTTTCTTCTTTATATCTAAGTCTAAATAGTATAAATGGAACGGGGCAAACTAAATTCAGGTGAAACAATTGCTCATCCACGTCCTGAATTTAGTTACTGTCAACTTTAAGTTTGCTATGACTCAACTACCATAGGTACGGTAATTATTTAGGTCCAATTTCTAGGTACAACTGATGTAACTAAAAATTTAGGTGTGGGGAAGGAATATATCATCTGATTCTTACAACACTTTTTACTTTGGGAGTGAATCTTGTCTAAAAAAATATTTTTTTCAATATTTAGGTGTGGGGAAGGAATATATCATCTGATTCTTACAACACTTTTTACTTTGGGAGTGAATCTTGTCTAAAAAAAATATTTTTTTCAATAAAATGCTCACAGACCTAAGAGTTTTTTTTTTTGTCGCTGGGCATGATATATAGCAAAAACTAAGCCCTTGTTTAGTTCCAGGAATTTGGAATTAGTTTTTTTTTTAGCACATATTTAATTTTCCATGCACGTCCAAATATTGGACTAATTCGGCTCAAAACGTTCAGAGGCCACCCAATTCCACCTTGTAGTCTCACTCCACGGTGGCGACGTTCAATGCGTTGACTCAAGCTCCTTTCCTGCATTTTGCCCCGCACCGGACGCGCGTACACCTACAAGCATAGCATCGCCCGCATATGAGGCAACCCTCTCCACCTTGTCTCTCACTCACGGTGATGGCTTTCCTCCAAAAAACTCCTAGGGGCTGCACATGCCCCGCACCGGACGCGCGTACACCTACACCACCAGCATCGCCCGCATATGAGGCAACAAGATGCTCTCTCTCTCTCTCTCTTCTCATGATGGCTTTCCTAAAAAAACAACTAGGGCCACGTTTGTCCCAAATTTACGAGATTTGACATTTTGAGCCTAATTAATCAACGATCACATCAATTATTACCAAATAAAAACAAAACTTATATGTTGTTTGAAATCCTAATCAATAATCGATTCGGTGGCCGAACTAAACGCGGCCCAGTAGGGATTGAGACCGATTCCTTGAGACAGAGGCCAAGAGCAGGAAGCCTCCAACCGTAGATGCAACGGCCCATGTGAAGTGAAGCGAGGGAAGGAAGAAAAGAACTCTTCGGCTCAACCTTACCCAACCAACATGTATGCCGCATATATATAGATCGTGTTCGCTTGAATTTATCAGCCATACCGTTTTAACGAAATAAAAATATTTTTCTCTCACAACAAATCAGCATCGACTGTTTTTTCAACCAGACAAACAGGGTCATGGCTTCCACCAGCCTTCCACTCCAACCAACCTCCGTCCCTCGATCACCAGTCGCCATGGAATGGGTCCCAACAACCAAAAGCTCCACATGGCTGCATGTGAATGCGAGGCTCCTTGCTCTGCAGACAAGCGGCCTCTCTCCCCTTGGCCATGCACTATGAATGTGATCTCTGCTTGCCATTGTCAACTGAAAAAACAAGTTCCAACTTGATCTTCTTTTATCTTTACCAGGCTAGCAGGAGGAGGAATGTACCGTGATCAGCAAAGGCATGTGGTGTAGCACAGGAAATTCAGAGAAATAAATAAGCGTCATGTTCGTTTGGCTTGACTGGCCTCGACAAAGGCCGATCCATGATCATGATCCACCCCACCCAGGGCCAGGGACGCGTGAAAAAGAAACTACCATACCCTGTCTCGCTGTCTTGGCCTGTTGGCCATTTCCCATGCATGCTGCTGCTCTCATGAACAGAAGATTCTCTGCAGCTCATCTATCTCCTCTCACCACACCAGTCACTAGTGCTGGGGACAAAACAGCCCAAAGTACATCCCCAGCATCTCTACCCACGTCTCTTCATCTCCCGCACCTTCCATCTATACTCCGTCCGGTCCATGGACGCATCCATCCACAACCACAGCAATCTCAACTAATTCTCCAGATTTGATCCCCATCAAGCGTCAAAATAATGCACATCTGGGTTACGAAGCTTCGACTGCCAGATCGAATGCAGTTAAAACTAGCAGATCTTCATGTCTGCAGGATTGTTTCTCCCTCCCATCTACTGCCAGACTTAGCCACACTTCTTGAGCTGTTCTGTTTGTTCTACCGACCGACCAACTTTTCCGCTGCAATTGTCACAGGAACTAATGCAACCATAAAGCAAATACCACACAAGTACAGAGCAACAACTGAGCTGAGCCCATGATCTTTTTCTTTCTTTCTTTAGGTGACTATAGTTCAACAAATACAATGAACAAATCTCTGGGAATTGTCTTTACAAACTTTCATTTTTTTCCCATTCATCCTCCCTATAAATAACACCCCTTTTTTTTTCCAATTCTACAATTTCCCCCAAAAAAGCAGAGGAAAATTTTTAATAAACCAACACATAATTTGTACCAGAGCTCTGTACCATGCCATGACCGAGCACCTATTGACGGCGTCGTCGCGGCCAAAATGGCGGACACCCAGATCGATCCACGAGCCGCCGCCGGCGACCGCCCCGCACGAGTCGACGCCGGTGAGGTTGATCGTGGCCGCTGTCCTGCTCCTGTCCTGCACGCCAGGGAGAACATCACAGTTGGCGGCCTTTCCAACTGAGCCACGGCGGCGTGGGTCGGTCCCTGTCCGTCGATCGGGCCGTCAGCCCGCGCGGATCCGCTTCTTGGGCGGCGGCAGGGCGCGGAACACGGTGGTGAGGTCGCGCGCGACGGGGAAGAAGGCCCGGCGCGCCGACGGCGCCGCGGAGGAGGGGAACTTGCGCTTGGCGGCGGGCGTCGACGGAGGCGCCCACGCCGGCTTCCGCGGCGCCGGCGGGCACTCAGCCGGCGCCCGCAGCTGGCTGCCCTCCGACGTCGGCGTCGTGGGCTCCGTCACCTCCTGCTGGGCCTCCGAGTCGGCCTCCCCCTGTTCCTGCTGCTGCTTCTTCTCCACCGACGGCAAGGTCGCCACCGACTCGGCGTCCGGCGCCGGCGCCGTCGACGACGACGAGGCCGCCGAGGAGCAGGCGGCGGGCTCCGGCGCCGGTGTCGTGGTCCTGATCGGCGGCAGCGCCGGGTGGACGTCGGTCGCCGTGGGACTCATCTTGCCGGCGCACGCGCACTCGGCCGCGGCCCGCGGGGTGTCACGGGCGACGCGGCGATGGGTGCGAGGGAGGGAGGAGGTGAAAGAAAGTGCAAGGTGGTAGCGGCAAGCCGGCAAGCCGCGGAGGCTGTTAAATAGTGGTCGACGAGAGCGAGGAAGATTAACCGCTTTGATCAACTTTTCTGTGGGCCCCGGCTTTATTACTACCATCGACTTTGGCTACTAGTTCTGGCATGCCATTATGCCAACATAGCCAGCATGGGTTTACATACAAAAAATAAAAATAAAAACAATTCTGAAGATGTTCTTTTGGTTTAGGTCTCAGCAGCCAAATAATGTCTGCATACCTATTCGGAATCACTTCCAGTTGCAATTCCTACCGTTGAACCTGACATAACAGACACTAGTCTTGCTCACTGACCGAAAGTGAATTTCCAAATAGTTCACTGAGGACACTAGTCTTTGTTCACTAACCAAAAGTGAATTTTCAAATATTCCGTTGAAGGTCCATTCTGCTCAAATTTCAATCTTTTACTCTACCTAGAGTTCTAGACATCATCATTACTTAAGTAAGACCATTCTCTGTGGATTTTCCGTAGAAATTTTGTGTTACGCAAAATGATGGACCTTTCATAGCAGGGGACATAAAATGGCCTTTAACTGGTGCCTGGTGGGGTTCCAACTTCCAGGTGATATCGCTGGATGAAGACGGTGCAGTAGAAAGAATATATACATTGCAGGCTACCAGGGTGGTTCTTTGATAATATGGATGCAACATTTCCCGTTCCAATGCCAAATTGCGAATGTTTGTCTTGGGTGGAAAAAGAACAGTATCATTTATATTTATGTTATTACCTGTATTTGTTGAAAATAAAGATACCTATGGTTAAAAATAATTGAAGATGTGTACAAACTCTAATGATAACCATACAATCCTAGAGATAGAATAGGATTAGAGCTAGTAGAATTTGGCTTGTACGCTAAGTCTCTTCTCCATATACCTATAAATGTCTACTAAGAGCCAATGCAATTAATAACAAATCAATGGGATTTTCTGTCCATACCCACTGTTTTCCATATGACATCAAGAGCCATAGACTAGCGTCATTCAAACCTATACCTTCCATTTTCGCCGCCCCTAGGGCCAGCACCACATCCGTTGGCTAGAAAAGCATGTCCAAATAAGATATAGATACAGATTAGATATTTTTCAAATTCCTCCCCCATACCTATAGATATCCTCTTAGGGCCAATGCAACTAATACCATATCAATAGGATTTTCTCCACACCTAATATTTTCCACAATATTTTTCCTCATTGGCCTATAACTAAAAGATAGAACCCGTTACTATTCTTCACTAATGTTAATTTAGACATAGCAAGTGCTTTTGTATCATAAATATCAATTTATTTTCATATGTATCTTTAAATATGTTTATTATAATAATATATTTCATAATTAATCTAACCATGCTTATTATGCATCATAAAGATTAGAATCTTTTTAATATTTAGTTAACTTGAGATTGTTTGACTTTCTCAAGAATATGTTGTCACCTCATAAAAAAAATGCATATGTTGCAATCTATTAAATATAAATATATGATAGTTTGGTCTAAGGCGGACACGGATGTCAAGATTCAAACTTTAAAATCTTTGACCAACAAATAGGCTAATAATTTTAATTACTAAAATATAATACAAACTTAATATTGTTATATTTATAATTAAATGTACTATCAAATTATCATAAAATTATAAGGTCAAACAATATAATATAAATAAACTACATAAATAGTGGAAGGGTAATTTGAAAAACTGCGTCATTCCAAATTGCGCCTTATAATAGAGAATGAAAGGAGTATTTTTTTCTTATCTTTTTCCAGGAGTTCAGTCATAATTAATAAAAAAGAAAGAAAAGAGATAATGCAGTTAGGTGTTTTATTTGAAGTAGGTTGCGCAGTCAGCTTCGCAATAATCAATGTCGTAGCTGGAGCGACGTGCTCCTGTCCATCTTCAATCGGCACCTACCTGTTTTTCTTTGATTTTTCGTGATCAGCTGGGGATGGATGGATGATGATAATGACGATCAATAGAGTAGACTACGATTACGGAGTAGGATTTGCGTAGACGTAAGCGCCACCGCCGAGTCGCGACGACTGCGAATCATGGATGCATATATGCATGACGCCAACCAATCCACTCAGTGACCATGCACGCACGGTCGCAGGCCGTGTCAAAGTTAATCATTCCACGACTACATTACTAGCGCGCCAAGCTATCCGTTTTATATTTAGCAACGAATTCAAATCTCACTTGTCATGTACAGCTGTTTCGGATTTTGATATGCTTTCGAATTTGAAATTCCACTATAGTATATGCATGTACATCGAGTGTTGCTTGCGATGAAATGCATGGTGGGTCATGGGTGGCCTTTTTTGGCTAACTGATCCGAAGAAAATGATTGGGAGAGCTGGCAATCGAATCTCAATGACCAAAACTGCGGACGGTCGCAGGCCGTTTCGGATTTTGATATGCTTTCGAATTTGAAATTCCACTAGTATATGCATGTACATCGAGTGTTACCTCATCATATAATCAAGCAACTAGGGATATCTAGGGACTTCCAGATATCGCTCACCACGTCTCGGTCGCTCGTCGTCCAATTGCTCAATCCCACGCCCCTGGTAGATCTCGCATGAACCGCCTGTTAATCTTCCCTTTCTCGCGAACTTCCCTCCAATGCCAAACCTAGAGCAACCAATTCAGCTCCATTCTCGAGTTGAGAAGCACATCGTCGTTGGCCAGACATTTAGCGCGGGCCCTTCTCGATGCCTCGACCCAAACCACCGGCCGGCGGCTGAGAACCGCTGGCCGCCGCCCCAACCCACCCTCTCCATCAAGCGCGTCTGTGTCTCGCCGCCATACCGGCCCCTTCTATTCCCTCGACGATCGGACATCATCGAATAACTAACCAAGCAGCGCACAGACCTCCGCTTCCCTCAAGAAGCTTCTGGAAGAACACAGACCAGTCATTTCATCGCTTTTGGCCTTGCTTCGACAGGACTTATCGTTGCCGCGGCTGATTTGTAGGACTAATTTGTTGTGAGAAAAAAAAATTTATTGTTCCACACTGTTAAAAAAGTAGGGCTGATTAGTAGGATAAGAGACCATTTTCATTAAACACTAATTTTATTGTTGAGCAACACATAATCTTTGTTAAACCAAGACCAAACGCTTTTATAGCCCATAAATTATTGCTCACAATATCAAGTTAGTTCATAACTTTTTATGCATAATCCTAAATAGGTTATACAATGGCAATGCCAAATTCTCATCATACAGTGACAGCGACACAATCATGAACAAAACTCAGAGGGAGCCAAATAGCAAGAAGATGCAAGGCTGTAGCTAATTTCTCGGACTTGTATTAGCTGTAAAGTAGAGGAATTTATCAGGATTAAGGGAGGCCATAACTTATTAGGAGAAAACGATTTAGTGTGGATTTATATTTAAGAAAAAAGGAGATTTAATTTTAGTTGAACTTTTAGAGAGGCTCTAAACTTATTCGATACCAGAAATAATTCTTTTCTAATTACACTGGCCACGTACAGTAGGGGCACGGCAACGCCGCGCCATTAGTTTCTAGTTGTGGAGGAATTGCGAGGACTGCCACTGGCGTGGACGAGAAGATGGAGGTATCTCTGGTCAGAGGAAGGACTCGAATGGAGAGGAAGGGCAGGTGGGCCAGGGTTCCTTTCCGTTCCTCACATGGCAAGGCCGCCGGCCCACCGCACTCTGTTGGCTGGCAGCAGCAAAGGCTGATGGGCCCTGCCGCTTGCGGGCCCCCCGAATGGGTTAGCATTTCTTTTCACCAATGAAAACCGATTTATTATTACTGTACCATTTAATCGCCGTTGCTTTGGACACGCCGACACGGCATCATTTCCCATTTACTCTTCTTCGCTACGTAAATGCACGTGCGTTGCAACGGAAATACATAATACCACGATAACATGTGTATGAGCGTGTGGTTTACTGTTGCCTACATTAGGTATTGCAATCGTGGTGTTTGGAACATCAATATTGCATAAGTCTTTAAGAAAGATAGATAGTTAAAATATAACTTCAAATCATAACACAAGAGCATTCGCCTTAAGCATAACAAGTTTGTGTTTTGCAATACATGTTTTACAATATATTGTACAATTAAGAATTTAATCTCTCAATAGTTCGACCAGAGAACGTGCTTTGTACGGATACCAAGCTGCAGCTGGTTACCAATTAAAGATGATCCAGAAGATTTTCAAGTCCAAGATATGGCGTCTGACTTATTGTAGCTGAAGCATGCAGATGGCTAAAGCTGTAGTTAGAAGTATCCTGCATATAAGTCGTTTGTTAATTTTTAAAGTTAACGTAATGTTGATATCTTAAAAAATTATGTTCTTTACGATCAACGACTTGTATAAGCTGACCATGTGATTTGTAATAATATAAAAGTCAAAAAGAAGTAGTAATTAATTCATTTGCTTACATTACAAAGCATCGTACATATACAAGAACCAGTAGTAATCTTCATTGATCTGGTTTGTCAAGTCTTTAAAACATGGGCGGCAACCGTGATTTTCAACAGGTTCCATGTACCCAAGAATAACTATAAAACATAAAAAGATGAATCATAAGTGAAGCTTATAAAACAAGATTGATTATATATAGTTCGATGACTTTTTTTATGATCATAGAGACTATACAGTGGACCCTATGTGTTAAATGTTAAATAAAATAAATCAACATCGTCTCCTCTGTTCTCCATGGTTCCACCCTTCCCCATCTCCGACTCTGACCCCTTTCCGACTTTGCTCTTCTCGCACGTCTCTTTTCACCTTCACGTCTCCACCTCTGTCTGCCGCGGCGATAAATCCAGCTTCTAAGCGAGATAATTGAAATTTTGCCATTATCAAACTTGGGCTTTGCCTGTTTGCCATCCCACAAATGAAAT